TTATGTTCGGATGATACTTCAGTAAGGTTTTCTTGTTTTTTTCAAAGGAAAGCGAACTAGAATATGACAGAACTAACACGTTTGGACTGCTTGGATCCTTGCCGCCGCACCCACGATGTCGGGATGACGTCACATGTTCTGTCTTTCAAACTTTCATCGTTAATAATTTGAAAACTACTCATCGTAGAAAACTCCGGTTTGAAATTTTGTTCTTAGATTTTCTTCTACAATTTATTTTGATTTTGGGTATACTACCCCTTTAATGTTAGTTTTTTTAATTCTAAATTTAGTCGGTATTTATTTTAAAACGGGTAACTTAGGGAACATTCAATCAAAATTTTTACGTGAGCTAAAGTTTTACCTGGTGATGTGTTGATAAAAAATTATCGGACAAGAATTAATTGGTTTTTCGACAAAGAATGCCACGTGCGAGATAAGCGATGCAAGTGTGTTATCAGTTCCGGCGTCGTAGAGGAAATTCAGTTGTCAAGTTAATAACGGTGTTGAATTTGATAAAGGAATCGGTTTTTGCTTAAATGGGAAGAATGAAGAATAAACGGGGCTGTTTTGGGTTATTTCGAAAGAAAATGTAATTGTCTCTGACGGAAAATTTGGTACAGGTGATCCCGCCGGATATGCAATAAAAAAATGTAATCGTCATCATGTTAGTAAAATAATGCTCTAGAAAGTCTGAATCTGCAAACTTACGAGTCGTTCCCATAGCGCGATAGGTTCTTTTGCGGACTAGAGACCAGAAAGGCCAGAAAAGGCTTAGACGGTTTTAGAAGGGATAAATGGTTCTACCACCTAGAAACTTCGTAAAGGCACTAGAAAAAAAATGTAGAACGTTAGGTGCATTGCTCTAGAAAGATCTTGGAGAAAGAACTATGGGAAGAGTTTCGTGATACTTTTGGGGTTCCTCACGTCTTTTATAGCTTTGAGGGTTTTTCCACGTCAACTCCCGTGTCTAAATGACTTTCGAAAGGGGTAGAAATCTGGGGCCTAGAATAATCTAAAAATAGGAACAGAGAACCAGATATTCATTTAGGTGATCAACTGACCTTGGAAATGCCTGTTGGGGCCTAGAACGCACCTGATTAAAAGGGCCTGGAGTACTATAAATCGTTGGAAATATCGAGAGGACTTTCAATTGTTCTATCAAGCCGTTTAATAGTATAGAAAAGTCCTTAGAAGTATCTAAAAACTTGCACGGTGTAACGAAGCACCTGTAGATTAACGTCCGGTATCAAAAAGCGTTTCAAGTTGGACGCTTTGTCGCCCTGAAAGTATTTAAGAGTTGAAGATACAAGCTACAGGTAATTGATTTAATTTCGAGAGTTGTATTTCAACCGCCGCTGCCGTAAAAAAACGCTGCAGTTAATGCAAGGTCGTGCAGTTTACGGAAATATCAATGTGATAGGGGACCCCGCCCCGCTGGACCCAAAATTCCAAGAGAAGGGGGGCATCACTGGACTGCGAATTTGGAGATTTCTTTCCGACTATTTGCGTAAGTGTAATTAACCGTAATTAGTTGAATGGGTTACAGTAACTGCCGCCCATTAAGTTGAGAGGTTAGGTGCGCCCTTCAAATAATTGAATTTTGACACCGGTTCCGTATTTTTAAGACGCCTGGGTAGGATGTAATTAATTTAGGGGGGATTTTTTTTGCCTTTTTGTGTTTGCGGTAAGTATGTTATCTAGCTTTTGCGTAGATTTACTTTTCATCCGTACCGTTCAATTTTGGTTTGTTTGGAATGAATTCTACGGCACCGTATTTAGATATTTTGCACTTGGTTTTAACCGAAACGTAAGTTTAACCGAAACGCCAAATGTTTTTAATTCCTATCAACCCTTTGTTCGCAAGATAAGCTGTTTGCTACTTTTGTTTCATTAATTATAGGAGGGTGGGGGATATTATCTCGTCGCTTCCTGCAATTGCTTTCCCATAGAAACCACTATCGAATCCGATTATTTACTGTTCCCGCTTAGGGAAATTGCTGTGTGCTTTATGTTTGTATTCACCTGTTGTCGCCCACCGCAAGCCCTTTAAATTCCTGGAACCGTTCTGCATTCGTGTTACCTGGAGTTTACCATGGCTGACCGCATCTTGTCAAGGAGCAAGAGAGACCGAAATATTCTTCCGAAGCACTCTCGTTCTGCCGTTTCTTGGCGCTGTTCCTCCGTCTTCCGCCGACTATCGTCACCGTCACCATCTACAGATTTTGACTGGTTAATTACCACTAGATTTTCCTTTTTTTCACCTTTATTAAATTTCATTTTTTTTTGTTTCTTGCAAGCTCTTGAAAGCTTTAGATTATTTTATCATTCTAAATTATACAGGGTGTTAATAATTACACCCGAAAAGGGCATTTGGTGCTTCGATTCAGCGTTATCTTTTGTTTTTCGAAAAATCGTTGTAACTCCCTTATAAGTACCATTGGAAAAATAACAAAGAATTTCAAAATTATCTTTCAGCTCTCTAAAACAACTGTATTTGCAATTATTTCTTATTTTTTCAAATAACAAAATGGCGATCGATCAAAAATTTCAAAACAACTCTGAATGCTAAACACAATTTTCATCTAACCAAAGGAATGGTATCACCGAAATTAAATGCACATTCTTCAATTAATGAAACGAAATAACGAAAATTCTTCGTTTGGATTCGATTCTTATCAATGAATACAATACAAGGTCTGTTTCTTGCCAATAATTTTTTCACGGGTCGATTCCTTTAGGAATATTAAAAATACTACGAACAAAATTTCTTATTGCAAATTCCTAAAATTAACCGACCACTACTTTATACTTTATTAAACAATTTTAAATAAATAAATTACGTGAGTAATTCTGGCAACGAATTGATCGGGAAAATCCCGCTTTCAGTAGAAATATGGAAAAAAACGCGTCGATGATACAGTTGACTTTCTGTAACCCCAGTAACGTTATCTTCCACATGAATGCCAAATTTGGCGGAAGAAAAGTTCCTATGAAGCTCCAATCCCAGCAAACCGATTTAAATATCGCGAAATTGATACTCGAGATAGTGATTGTGCACAGGAATACTAAGCCAATGTTCCGCGGTGTTGATATTAATTTTCTCCGATTTATTAACTTAACTTTATTAACACTTTATCGCTACTTATAAATTTTTACAAACGAAAGTTTTAGCGCACCTAAGATGGTTGGTAATCGCTCGAGAAATTAGCTGCGAAATGATCGTATTTCTGCGTCAATAAAATTCTAAAACACAAATACGTGCTAGCACTTTGAAAATCTGCGCTGCAGCAGCACACCACCTTTTGCCGTGTAAACAGCATACGATCATTGGAATGTTTTCATATTTTACTAATGTCTATTTGGCATTGTCGTGTGTAATAAAAGCGTACCAACCTAGCTTATTTTATTCAAGAAAAATGTCATTTATCTTTTTCTCAAGTGAAATTTCTGAATGAATTCTAAAGGCTCTTTCATTTTTACGTAGTAGTTATCAATGTGTGTATAATGGTCTCTAATCGTCAGTCGCGTCAGGGTGTCTGAGTGAGGGCTCAAAATACACGCGTTTTAGCAGGGATATAACCTTACATTACTTATTTATGGGTGGCATGTAAAGTAAAGAGTACTCACGGAAATCGCATTCCATAAACTATTTTTTAATTGCGTGTGGGAAACGCTTTGGATTGGTTGAAAAGAAAGCACTAACCAATAGAGAATTTAGATATCGTGGATTTAATTTTTTCACAATTTTGTCATTAAGAATGATAGTAAGGAGTATTTATTTATTTGGATTTAAAGTAGATCGGTTTTGGCTTTGAATATTATTGGACGTTATAGAGGGTGTCAGATTTTTAACCGTGTCGGAAATGAATTCCGGCTTTTCTGCGTCATTCGAGTTTCAATTCTCCTTTTGTCCTCTTCATGAGTTCAGGATATTATGACGCCGCGATTCGGAGGATGGATCTCAAATTCGGTCTTTTTTAATAGCTATATACCTTTGCATAACACAAAGCTACCGTGGAAAACGCTGACAACGTCATTTTTTGTTTAAATAATTAACGTGCCTAGAAGTAGTTGGGATTGGTAGAACTAGAAAGCTTAACCAATGGAAATTAATGACCGCCTTCATTAACAATCCGCCATTTTTGGTCGTACTTAATAGCTGGAGTGGTAATTAGTCTTGGGAGTAACCGATTTTGGTGTAGACCGAACAGTTTTGGTTTCGAATAATAAAAAAATTTCGGGAGTCAGTTATGAAAAGCGCACAAATGGTCCTCACAAAAAGCGATTCGCCGGTGAGGTTTAAAATACAGTTGGGTGTTTTTAAGAAAAAAGAAGGTTCGTGCCATAATTGGGTGTGAAATAGTCGTTTAAATAAATAATCGTTTGCAGGCACTCTGAAGAAACAGTGACAACAAAGGATTACGCGAGATAACTCGTGAAGAATTTTTCAATTTTGTTTTCAGTTTTATGTTTATCGTAACCCAAAGAAGAACTGATTAAATTTTCAGGAGCTCTTTTGCTATATTTGTTACAAGTTTATTTGAGATGTTTTCGACGCTTTATTGTGATCATAGAATCTTTTGTATAAGTTTCAAATACTCCGCGGCTGAATGTTCAATTGTCTATCTGCACCACCTTTATTTTCACAAGGAATGGAAATGGCAAACAATGCTCAAGATTGTGGACGATGTTGGAGATTCGAACACCATTCAGTTACACGATTCCAAGTAAAGCAGGAACGTATACTAAATAACTGAAGTGAAATCTGCACAATTATTAATGAGACTGTACAAAATAATTACATGATACATTATACCCCTTTGTTAACTTGATGTTCGATTATTTCGAACGAGATTTAAATGAGCCGTAGGTAAATGTTGATATTATTAACCAATAAATACATATAAACCGTAACATTTCCATTAGATTAAGCAATAAATTACCCATGCTCTACAGGTTTGACGTTTCGCTTTTAATTACAAATAAATCATTAACCTTACCTGGTTCATCTTCGTTAACGCACAAAGGGCCGACCCACTGTCCTCCGATACATTTAATTTTGCAGAGCCGTTTTTCGCCCAGGGGACCAATAGCCCCGGAAAATTTCACTTCCCTTATAAGTCTATATTCATCGCGTATTCTGACATCGCCTTCCTCCGTTTGTGTACCGTTCAGCGCTAACGAGGGCGGCGGGCAGCTTTCCATTGTAAAATCTGCAATAAAAGGTCGGGTGTTAACATTGCGCCTTTTTTCTACCACCTACCATCTGCATTTGATTAACAGTTCCTGGGAAATTTAAAGCAAATGCCTCCTCTAAATTAATACGATGTAAATGTAATCCTTTGATATTTATAATCGGAATTAAATTCTGATTTATCCAAAGAAAAGCGTCACGCGTATGTGGCTGCTCAAAATATTTAAAGAAACGGTGTATTTGTTTCATTTTTGAACCACAAATAACTTTTACGTTCACGTTTTCAATATAAATCCACTCTGACCCTACACTAAACTGTTGCAGAACCCTAATATATTCGAGCACGCCGAAACATGCGGATCTATAGTTCAGAAGCGCAACCCTTATCCCAAAACTTATTCCGCTGCAACTACCACCGCGACAGTAACAAATTAGTTTCGAATCATTATTACCAAATAATTTCGTTACTTTTAAACGACGGTCGAGGAGGAAAATCAAATTTTGTAATGCATTAAAAGTGCACGGTGTACGTTGTACGAAGCTTTTAAAATTTGCATAACCATTTGAATATACTTTTGCTCTAAAACCTTTGGATTTACGATCGTTTGCATAAATATGAGAAAGATTTATATAGTGCAACAGAATTAGTTTAAAAGTACCTATTAGATTTTTTACGGTTTTATTTTAGAATCCTCTAGTTCATTTAAGGTCTTTTTATGCATTGAAAATCACAGGCAGAGTAATAAAGATAAAAGCAGGCAGTGGCGTAACTATCACCGAGCAACTAGTAGCAAGGCTCGAGAGCCTCTGTGGTCTGGCGAAACCCCATTGCATTCTAATTTTAGTCTACCGTTACTCAAAGGATCTTCTTAATAAATAAATACATATTAAAGACGTAGGTACTCCTTTTACTGATAAATATCGACTCAGTGAATTTGCACTGCCTCACCGGCAGCGTAGAGTTAGTAGGTCATGGTACAAATTTCTTATATTTTCGTGTAAAACACAGGATCAACCTTGTATTTCTCTGACGTGTACAGGGTGACCAAATAAGAATGCGAGGTACTGTCTATCCATCTATCCATCGTAGAGGCTTGCGGTAAAACAAGTTATTACTAAAACGGCTACGAGTAAAACCTGGAAAATATTTTTGAGTTTCTGAAATGGCCGCTAGGGAGCGTAACTGCAATCTGGAATCTAAAAAAGTGATGTTTCTGTGAATTCCGCTATATTAACCTAACAAAAAAATGTCCAGTCATTGAAGACGACGATAATCTGAACCTTTCTTGTTTGACAATTTTTGCTGTATCTCTAAAAATGAAGTGGTGGGGTTTCCGTAAAAAACACCCTGTATCTTCGACACGGCTGAAAATTTTAATATTTGAGGTTTTGTTAGTTTCACATATCGCCAATTGAGGGCTTTTTTCGACATTCGACAATTTTTATTTTTTTAAGCTTTTTCCGGAATTATTTTTATTATATAATTTGGTGGATCGATTTAAAAAAGGAAGATGCGGTTTACGCGAGTTTGTTTAGGCATCATTTAGCTACTTCTTCATGAAAAAAAATCGAGCCAATGCATTTAATTTTTTTGGGAAAATTAAGCATTTCTGTCGGATTGTCGAAAAAAGCCCTCAAGCGGTGATACGTAAAATTAACAAAACTTCAAATGTCATAATATTTGTAGCTGAAGAATAGCTCTTTTGAACTGATTCGAGTTTGTTTCAATCGGCCCAGCCGTTTCGAAGATACAGGGTGTTTTTTACAGAAACCTTTGAATACCCCCCACCACTTTATTTTTAGAGATACAGCAAAAAATACCAAACAAAAAAGGTTCATATTATCGTCGAACGGAACGGACATTATTTTGTTAGGTTAATATAGCGGAATTCATAGAAACATCACTTTTTTAGATTCAAGATTGCAGGGGCCATTTCAGAAACTTAAAAATATTTTCCAGGTTTTTCTCGTGGCCGTTTTAGTAATAACTTTTTTTACCGCAAGCCTCTACGATGGACAGGTTCCCAGATATAGTACCTCGCATTCTTAGTTGACCACCCTGTACAATGACGAAACAACAATTACGCAGTGTGACTCATACAGAAAATATTCTAGAGTAATTTAAATTCCACTTGAGAGCACCATTTTGGCGCGTTTTTGTTATAATTCAATATTTTAATTGCATCAAATAATTAATGCAATTGTTCAAAATTATCAATATAATAATGCGAGACACAACCTTAGTTAGTCACTAAGCATACAAACTTTAAAATTGTAAGACTGTGTTTCGAAAAAAAATAAAACAAAATCCCTGAAAGAAAGAAAAGCTTACAACGCTTGTTTGGACATACTACCCCGCACGCAGGCGTTTGACTATTAAAATAAGAAACCATAAAGTTACGTATAGTTTTTTCTTCATAATCCAACTGACCTGGTCCTACAAGATTTGCGACATTAGCCGCATAAAAAATGACACAACAGCACTCGCTGACAGCTTACAACTTCAGAAAACTTTACTTGCACAAATTTTCGGTAGCTGTTCGGACGGTAAAGAAGTTTTAACTTTAATAATAAAGGAAACTGAACAGAAGGTCTCGCTGTGCACTACTATACTGCTTGCATTTTTCAACAAAAAACATTAATACACTTTACACTTCTTAAACTACTTTCGTTAACATATGCTTCCGCAGACGATGTATTTGCATTTGACAGTATTTATTGATTTAATTCAGGTAACATATCGATTTTGAATCTTGGGACATTTAAAATTAGCGCTTTATCTGATTTTCAATTTTTGATATCATAAATGGACCGAAAATAAGTTTTGGATGCACAACTAATACCACACTATTTATTTACCAAATTATACATACTTCACAAATATTTATATAGGCAAAGTGTAAAAGGTAAGTTTACACAGCGAATTAATAACCTAACGAGCAACTACAAGTCAACGAGTAAAAGACTAAAAGAACGAATGTGCCCTCGCCAGTAATGTGTCATTTTCCTGACTTGTATGTAAATATCTATTGTTTAAAGCTTATCGGTTTGTAAATTGTTTATTTAGATTAGTTTTTAATTGTGAACTTGCGTGTTAGAAAATAGGCACGTCTAATCAACGTTATCTGGTTGTTTTGAGATAAGGAATCGTATCCGACGAGATTTAATTAGCGCACGTGTTTTTATCGCTGTTAGCAGAGATAAAGTGTTTCGAAGAATCGTGCGTTATCTTCGGCGTAAGAGGGGACGTCTAATTTTGATTGGCTGTGTCTTTCAAAGATCTCGACGAAGAAAATTATTTTATTGTGGAAGTGGTGTTTCGTTGAATACTGGGTGGAAAGCGTGTACGTTTCCTTACACTATTTTTTGTTCGGGCTATTCGTGTGATTGAAACGAAGGACCTATTTTCCACTTTGAAATTTACATCCTTTCACGACCGCCCGGTACGTTAACACCCGGTATCTGGATGCGCTTCGTTACGAAAAGTACTGACTACTGAAAGTATTTCTGTTGGTTGTAGGTGTTGAAGATAGAAGCTGCCGTTACCGTAAACAGAGGCTGTAATTGATTCGCCGTTTGCAACCGTTTCAATCAAGATATTTTAGTTATCTTTGTTGCGTCAGAAAGCTCTTGCCATTTACAATACGAGGGCAAATTAATATTTTAGAGTTTTAGTCCCGTTAAGTATTTATTAGATGATTTTGGTTTCTTGTGCTAATTTAAAACGAGCATTAAAGCTGCAACGCCATGCAGTTTTAAGCTGGTATCAGTTTGATAAGTAACCTGTTACCGACCTGAGAAATTCCAAAACACAGTGGGGGTAAATTAGAAGTATGAATTTAGCAATTTCGTCTTGCATACTTGATTTAATGAGTTGCAGAGTACACAGCATCCGATTAAAAAGTGAGTGGTTTAAAAAAATCGCTTTAATTAATTTAAAGCAAGCCACATAATAAATAATAATAATAATCCGAATACACTAGACCGGTTGAGATAATCGGCGTTGCCTCAATGGCATGACCGAATTTAATAAAAAGTAAACCCGTTGTTTAGAGGGGATATTTTTGCCTTTTGCATTTTCTTAAGTTAATTTCGTAAGTACTGACATCTTATAGCTTTTCCATAGTTTCCATTACTTAGGCAACCCTACCGTATTTAAATCATCGATCTTCTTGCCTTTGATGTTTTAACCAACACGTAGGATCTTTGCTAGTTACATTAATTGTACCTAAGTAGGTACCGTATTAATTTTTGATACTTTCCGTTTAATTTTTACTTTTACATTAAGGTTACCGCACCGTATTTACAGTTTTTACTTGTTCTTGCGCAGCAATATCTACCTCTCCGTTTAATTTGCTAGGTCAGGTTTTTGCGACTTCCTATTCTATTAATTATAGTGGGAGGGGGGATAGTGTTTCGCTTTCCTGCATTTCATTTCCCTTAGACACCGCTAATTAATTTGTGTTTTGTTGCTTTCATTACCGTTAATGAGTTTGTCGTAATTTTGTTTTAGTTGTGTACGACCTTCATAGAATAGTTATGTCAAATTTTTCTTTTCGTGTCAGGTATTAATAAAAAATTGTGAAAAAATTCTTCGAAATCAAGGCTCCTGGGTCTCCCAGATCATTAACAACAATTAACAACAATCAACATGTACCACTGTACACAGCACTATATACCTTGAAACGTAAATGTTAAAAGGTTTAGGGGTAATCTTAATTTTAAGTTTGAGTTATTAATCTCGAAGTTTGAAGCTTGAATTTTCAAGCTCAAATTGGGAATCTTAAAGCTGGAGCTTTAATAATGATATTCAAACCTGAAACGATACAATTTCGTGTTTAGGCCATATTATACAGTGTGTCCACCGATTGCTTGCCCGTCTCTTGTAAAAGACAAACAATTTTCGAATTGAATTTTGAGCTTCTGGGGAGCAGCCCTGCTTGGTTGGATACTAATTTGTGATATAATTTTATCTTTATTAAAAATCACTTAAATTGAAAAACGACAGCCATAAATGGGATATTATAAAAATAACTTAAATGTGGATTATTATGGGATAGTGGGGAGTTTTGAAAGATCAAAGATGCCTTTTAACTGCTCAAAAAACGTTTTTTTGCATACCAATAAAGTAAATGTAACGAAGCACTCGTTGTCCGCCTTGCTATTTACCGGTTTTAGTGATCACTCTGTTGATGAACACCCGGTATCTAGAAGCATTTTAGGTTAGGCGCTTCGTTACAAAAACTGTCGTGGCGAAAGTATTTGAGTTGTTTTTAATTTAATTTCTAAAGTTGTGTTTCAGCCGCCGTTATCGTAAACAATCCGCAGTTTTCCACCGTTCCCATTAAGATCTTTTAATTATTTTTGTGGCATCCGAACGCTCTTGTCATGGCCCAGTCCGCCTTCCTATCCAAGTCCATAATCTAGAATCTCTTGTTATTTAAAAGATAAGGGCGAATTAATTAAAATTTCAGTCCATTATTATTAATATTATTTTTATTGACGGCCAAGCCAATATTTCAAACATTGTTCTCAATAACATATTTTACTTAGTTTAATATACATATATAATCAGAATAAGTAAAATTATGTAATTATTAGATAATTTAGTATGATACATTAAAACGAGCATTAAACCTGCAGGTTTACGCGGATATCAGTTTTGGTAAGCGACCTTTATGCCAACCTTAGTTTATAAATTTTAATCCGGCTAACTAAGTAAGTGCAATTAACAGTAGCTACGTAAATGTGTTGCAGTGAACAGCATTCTATTACGTCCTGAGAGGTCCCCAAAAACCGCTCTTAATTAATTTGAACTTTAAGACGAATTACAGATCTTTAGAAAGTCAGTAAGCAGTAAGCACAATTAAAGAAGTTTAATTTTTTGGCCAGTGTTTCAAACGCTCTCTGTAATTTGTGAAGTGTATATGAGGTTCTTGCACAGTAATTTCTGCCGCTCCGTTGAATTTGCGAGGTCAGGGAATATTGTTTCGCTTACCAGCATTTGATTTCCCGTAGACACCGCTAATTGATTTGTGTTTTGTTTCATTCTCGCTAGGGCGTCTGCCGTAATTTTGTTGTGTTTTTCCGAAGTGACCGCCGCGATTTGCTGAATTCGATTCCTGAAGTTGCCGTTTACTCTGATTCAGTTTAACCGAGGCTTCCGAGACCGTTCTGCAACCGCTGATACCGCCGACCTTGAGCAGGAGCAAGACCGTACCCCTTGGTGACGCTCCAGTCCGTCCGTCCGTCCAGTCAACCGTCCGTTCCGCAGACAGCACGTCCAGGTTGCCGCCGACTGCCGCTACTATCGTCCGCTCACCTAAGTTCGTCCCAATGTTATTAGGGAAAGTTGTTCAGAATGAAAAACTGAGTAAACGTGGGAAATTTTGAAGTCCTAAGCCTACTATAATTTTTTGTTTTATTTTTTAACTGGATTTTTTTAAGAAATCCGAAATGGTTGCAATTCTAAAGTGTCAACATCAACTTTTATCCTCGAGGCAAGGCACTTGAAACACAAAGTTCAAATTAAAAATGTCCGAATACTGAAGCATGCATTTTACTTAAAGATCTAAACCCGATGCCCTGAGGCTAAGGTTTTAACAAATCTTGATATTGAAATTTAAGCTTGAATAGCTAAACTCAAATGCTGATCTAATGCCTAAATACGGCTGCCGCGTGCCGCTCTGAACTTTGCACGAAAAACTTTGAAATTATTTACCGTCTCCATTAAATCCGCTACACGAACAAAAAGAGCATATAATTTTTCTTTAAAATGAAAATTTGTGAGTGTGACAGGACGCTTATTTACCTTTGAGCAAAATTGAATAATAAAAGGCGAGGATTTATGCTTTAGTGTTAGAGAAATATGGCAAATAAGGTTAAAAATATGAGGTAATCTATTTCTGTTCGAACCTTACGTCAAAACAGAGCATTTCAAAACTTTATTATTCGCATAGCTTTGTAGTCGGTTCCATTTCGGTTAGTATATACGAGTGTAGTAAAAATTGAGGGAACTATAAAATATTTTATATGTTTATTGCGCTGATAAATATCAAATCGGAATATAGTTGCAAACTTATAAAGATTGTGGTATTGTAAACGAAACAGGAATTACAATACCAGTTCTTGTTTACTGTACACGAAACTGTATTTCTAGTAATTAATTTCTTGTCGGTATCACATTCCGCAATCAAGATCCATATACATATCTGAGCCGTATAGGTTGATTCCATCAATTTTGTTCTAGAAACAAAATTTGACTTGTTGCAGCTCTTTTATGTAAAAGAAATTTAATAACATTTGTAAAACACATACACAACCACGTAGGGCTTTTATCGGAATAATTTCGTGCAAAAATCCCATCAATCTCCCACGTACTGGTATTAAATAACATTTTAAGCATTCTCGTATAGCTCGAGATGTTATATGTAACAGATATTAAAGTACTTTTCAAAAATGTTTCAGCAATGCGACAGACAGGGACGCGATAATGAATTAATGTTGGCGCGCGGAAAATTTGTTGGAAAATTCTCCGAATAGTTTACATCGCGTTAACTAAACTTCAGGAGATCAAATTTAACGCACGGAACTTTATATTTTCCTTTCACCTGATGTCGAGGTGTCGAAGGATTTGAGTTGGAAAGCTCACCAAACACCTAGGTACATTTAAGAGTCAGAACTATTTTAAATTGTAGCTTTAACCTTTCATATTGTTAAGGTTACTGATTGTTTTGTTCACCCTTGACACAAAAAGGCCTAGACAACTCTTTTAAGTGAAGTGAACCTTTTAATCCTTCCAACATTTGCGACTGGCACTTGTCAAACTACTAATTTATGTTAAGGATGCAATGGAAACCGTCGCTTTGAAGTTTTACTACGCTTTCCACTACATCTCTCGCTTGCGTTAACTATGAAGTACGGTATAGCTTGCGGTTTATCGGACGAACTTTGTTCTATTTTCTTCTTTAAGTAGACAGATGTATAATTTCTACGGACTGTGCTTAAGTAGCGCGAGTTTGGTGCAGCATGACCGTTTGCTCGAGCAGTTAGTATTCACTGAACATATTGACCCTATTTGAAATCCAAAATAATGGAGGGCATTCATTAATGAATGCTTTAGATAAGGAGTCTGCTTAACGGCTTATTTTCTCGCTTCAGTTTACGAAGCTTTCTTCAGACTTTAATCAATATCCATGAGAATTCGCACTATATCCTATACATTTTTATTAAATACATTTAATACAGATTATATGGCACATTTAATTAGTGTATCGCTTGACATGTTCGTATGTTACTTCGACAATCTAAACTCTATTCCTTACGATCCTTTCAATCTAGCGCTGCTCAGCTCGCTTTGTGTGAATAGGCGCTCATAATTCATTATGGCGTTTATGTCCAGAAGTTAGTTAACCCTACGCCGCGCCGCTACGATTTCCTTGGTGTCCGGGGTTCCCTGCAACAAGCCCAACCAATCTTTAATAACTTGGGGAGTCCCGAAAGTGTGAGAGTCCATGGACAAGTGTCTAGATACTCAACACGTGGAGCTCAATCAGTTTACAAAAGTCACTACTACATCCTTCACGAGGCACTACGACTTATGAGAGAGGTCATGAGTTACGTACGGATGCGTGTGGTACTGGATGAGGAGAAGTATCAATTAACATAATTACAAAGACCTTGTCGTGTTTCAAAAATCTCGAGGTCTTAAATATGCCTACGAGAAAAGTCTCGATTTCACGTGGACCGCGTCATAAGGGTTGAAACAGGAAGAGACAGAAGTATGGTCATCTGAAAATTGAAATTCACCTACTGTCCCAGAATGGAACTACACATATACCGCTTCATAGCAAACGTGAACGAAAGTATGTCTCGAATCAGAGCGATAACGATTTCGATAAAAATGCAAGCTGTTTTTGAGATAAACGCTAGCGAGACCGAGTTGAAAAGGGGATTTTCGGCATACGAGGCTAGAATTTCAAAGAGCTACCACATACGATTTATGTGTGAGGATTTTCATTTCGCATAATTGCCAATATTTCGCGGTGAGATATAGTGGCGCCTTTTTAGATTACGTCGCGTGCAAAATACGAGTCTAACTTTACGCAAGAAGAAAAAAGATAAAACGGATTGGCAGCCTAATTCGTAGCAAGGCCGTTTATTTACGAGTGATAAGGTTAATGCGAAGGAAAAGTGCCTTTCAAATAAAAACGGGATTAAATAAACTGATATAACACTCACTGTGATATACAAACAATAATTTTTTCGAATCGCTAATAGTAACGGCTTGTTTAAAAGCTTTGTTGAGTTGAGTGACGTAATTGGCGATAATATTGTATACAACGCATGGAATTTATAAAAGCAATCAATCGGTGCACTTACATTAAACAATACCTAGGGAGTAAATGGGGCAAAATTAATATCCACACTGCGGAACATTGACCTTTTATTCCTGTGCATAATCAGGACCTCGACTATTACTTAAGCGCAATTGAAAACAGTTTGCTTATATTTGTAATACGTATAGATATTTATTTCTAAAAGAAGCGGCATTTTCCAAGAAGACGTAAGACTAATTGTTATTAGAGGAGAATAGTACCCACGTCAATAACTACAAGTTACTTTAAATTTGATTTGTATAAAAGTAGTGGTCGATTTTAGGAATTTGCATGCGTTTGAAGTAGTTGTAATATTCCTATAGGAATCGACCTCCGTCAATTACTTGTATGAAACAGATTTGTCCTCCGTTTATTGATAAGAAGATGATCCACACAAAAGATGTGCTTTATTGGTTGGAAATTTTGCATCCTACCGCTGCGTGTCGTACCAGGCAACTAAACAACGGTAAACAGTCAGTTGGTTTGAGAAGATTTTACCGATTATAACTTCTTTCTCGACTTGTGACAATTTTTAGATGAGTTTTTCCTATTGCTTGAAGTGCCAGGGACGAGCCCAAGGGCTACTCTCCAGCTTTGGAAACTTGTTGCTAGAGATTTTTGGATTTTCGTGATATTTAAGGTTTTCGTTCTTTGAGGAGTATTCCTTCATGGAGGGTGAATATCCTGCACCATAGGTGATTAGTGGTAATATTAAATACTTGGGTGGTCCAGGATAGACGATTGCCTTTTATATGAATAAGAGCTTCAGATTTCCACAATGCAACATTAAAGTGGTTTCTGCTGACAGAACTTTAGATGTTTGTTTGCAGTATCAGAGGAGGGCTCTAGGACATGGTATTCCCCAAATTAATAGTGTAGAATTGAATTTTTCTTAGGGTACGTCAGTGTTAAGGGATGTGGTCCTGTTAGATAAGATATTCCAAAATTTGGTTATTTTAAATTTCTATGTCAATAATTTCCAATCGAATTAACCGTTCGTTATTTCTGTAAGGTTGAAACGGATCGAGTTAGAGAGCGGTACGCCTTGTAAAATAAACATGAGAGCTGTTTGATAATAGAGATAGTACGACAAGATAGTCAAGAATACTTCAACATTATTCCTTCTAGAGATCCAGGTTCCATTAAATATTGTCCAGCTTTATGCCGCCGTACCCTTCAGAAGGGCAGTACCGAAGTGTACCATAGCGAAACCATTGATTCTAGAAATCGCTGTAATTAAGGTAAAGTAATCCTTTTGATTTGCATTAAAATAACGATCGGGTTCCATTAAGAAACTGATTATACATTCTTAAAGGGTTTGGTTTTATTGTAAATTTTCTGAATAAATCCGAATTGTATTATATAAAAAACAATTATGTGTGAATCCATTTAGAATGAATTTTTCTTTTCAAGTTGTTTGGTCATTGGTTCAGTTTCGATAACCTTTAGCAAAAAGATTTGAATATTTTGACTACTCTCATACCTTTCAACTTGTAAATAAAAATGTTTTGTGGCGAATACGCTACGACGGCTGGGAAACCGTCGATCCCTCCATGAAATTGCCGAATTTTATAAAAGGCAAAGCCGTTGTTTAGAGGAGATCTCTTTTGCCTTTGGTGTTTGACCGAATTTTTTGGCAATTTCACTGTATGTTCTAAGATTTTATCCGTTATCGTAAGGCAAGCGTTTGATACTTTTCGTACCGTAAATTATAAGAGGGTATTGCTTTGCTTATCTTGTATTTGGTTTCTCGTAGCTACCGCTAATTAATATATGCTTTGTTGCTTGCGTTCCCGTTAGGGCAATCGAAACCGTGTCCGTGTACCTTAATGCTGTTTTAATTGCATCCCTGGACGTAACCGCCCGTCGAATTCTGGACTAAGCCGTTTCGTGTGCAAAACTTCCGAGACGGTTCCGAAACCACCGACCTTGACCATAAGCAAGGCTTTATTCTTCTGGTGGCGCTCGAGTCCGCCCATCCGCCCGTTCCGCCGACATCACATCCATATAGAATTAAAGTTTCCGTGTAGCTCATCCTAGCGGACATCCGTCGTATCTTTCTGCTCACCCGAAGTAAGGTGTTGGAGTTTTAGGTACTAATCGGATCGTTTGCGGGTGCGGTTGCACGTTTATTTTTAGATTTCTACTTTAAGTCACCCAACATACCATTGGGATCTAGTTTTTGATATTGATTGTCGCCATTTATTATTTTTATTTTCAATTTTGTATTTACATTATTTTTCATATCGCATTCCGGGTTTTTAGATAAGCTATCCGTTTTTTGTTGCCAGACGTTGCAGATTCAATATAATTCCTTCAAGGCGAAAAAGCAAATTTTTGATGGGCTATCAATAATACTTTTTTGCGAAGTGCACACCCTCGAGAAAAGTGTAATATACAACATTATCTATGATTGGTTGACTATCTCGCCGCTCATTAACGAAATCAATTCTATTAGAGCACGCGACGTGCATAATTCCCAACTTTTCGAACAAGAGATTCCAAGTCCTTAGCAAACAATCACGAAAACTTAAGCTCTGAATAAATTTCCAAAGGCTTAAGCGTTTCCACTCCGAATTATTCCGCTAATAAGCGATCTAATTTAAAACCTTTCAATTTAATGAAGCAGGTAATTTACGCCGTTCGAAACATTTTTGTAAATATCCCCTTTTATTCGTAACATTAAACGGCGAAATTAAATTGGGATTTTTTTTAATATCCAATAAAAGAGAATTGAGGGGCGTTTATTTCAGATTTCTGGCGCAAAATGAAACCTGAGACTGATATTTATCACAGTTAGAGGCGCAATTAAAGTGGCAGAAACGCACCTTGCTTACCTGTAAGGCCTACACGCGGTAAATCTTCGGCTAAGTGTATTTTGATGTTAAGACCCTTTTAGAAAAACCATTTGAAATTTAAAACACATGCTGATGCGACGGTTAGGGCTCGTTTTCACACACAAATGACCTTTTAAATTTTATTTACAGTTTTCCGTGTCATCTACAGAGGTCTATTTCCAAATTCTTATAATATCTACCGTATTGATCGTTAAGAAACCGTGCGAAAACCTGAATTCTGATGAAATAATTAAAGAAAAAAACTTGGAAGATTTCTTTCTAATTAGTTTCGGATCATTTCACCGCGCGAAGTCATTAATGTAATTAATATTTGAACGGCCCACAACGTACTTTGATATTAAAACATTTTTCCTTACTCGCTAATTAACAGTGAGAACAATTGCAAACATTGATTCCCCACCCACCTTCTGTTTGCCGACGGGGTGAACGCCTATGTTAAAACCATTTCCATTTTCCCAATGGTTCCGGTACGTTTTCGTGTTTCTATATTAATTAGTTTACACAATAATGTCTTCATGTTTTCTTAAAAAAAAACTCGTTCCAGTTCCCGTCTGAGTGTTTTTTAACCTTTAAAATATATATCCATAATAAGTAAGCGAGCTTTTGCTGACATTAACGTTATCTACATCAACGCAACTCTCCTCCTATTTAAAACAATGTTCATACGAACAGAAGGTGAAAAATCTGAGGTCTATAAATGACACTTTAACATTGTTTGTTTTATGTGAGACCGTGTGCCTCAGAAATGTATTTATCTGAACACCTTGAATCATCAAAAGGTATGTCAGAATGTTTTAAAGTCTGGTCGAATATCGAACCATCAGGGGTACCACCATCTAGAATACCAATTGTAGCGGTAGCACCTTACACTGAATTAATTTCTGAAATTTGAATCTAGTCCAACATGTACGATGTGAAGGCCGACAGGGTAATTGCCGAATTTATCTTCATATGCAATAGCATTTTGAAATCAAAATGTTTCATTTGTCCATTGCGTGCAACAACATTATAATCTTGGACCTTCTTGGTGATTCTACGAATATCCATCAGAGTCCGTTTTTGGGGCAAATTATAATAATAAATTTATTGTCTTACAGCAAACGCAAAACGCCAATTCTAAGACAATATATAAGTGAAAAAATGAATGTACGATCACTGACTAAAGTAATGATAATCGGAACTTAGGCAATCAACCATACACATTCTAAAATGGCAACGTTGAAGAGTAACTTTTCCGGTGGGAATTCGTGTGGAATGGGCACGCACGGCATTACGCATTG